AAGAAAGAGATTACACCTCTCTCCTACTTACCTCCATACACACATTGCAATATATTCTTCCAAACATGTACAAATATTTATTCCATTATCCATAAAACCAAAGCTAATTGTTATTATAAATCTACTTAGTTGAGAAATAGGAAGATCTATGGTATATAAATGCATCTCCATAGATATGAGATYTTTTAGATGAAACTAAAATTAAAATCATAAGAAGTTAGTATCGTATATAGAAATATGAAGCATCCGTTCTATATATATACATACAAGTTAAATAATCAGGTCAAGTAAGCCAACAAAGGGTTGACCAAACTCAAGTAATTAATTCAAATATTGTCATAAAAATAATTTGTCCAGTAGCCTAAAGGAATGTCAATACGTATCTAACTAACGTAGTGTGAGGATCATAGTACACACAATAAATAAAAAAAAGTTATAAAGTAATTAATACTGATGATTAAACTTTCTAGTTTAGTGGTAATGAATGATATTAAATTGGAATAGAATCGATGGAGAGTGAAGTGACGGCTTCTGGAGTACAAAAAAGAAATAATAGTCGAGGAACAAGCTGGAAGCCATTTGGAGCACCACACTACAATTAAAATTAATTACTTAAAAAGTTACAATATTATGTGTTCTCTCTCTGTTTTCTTAATTGGGTTTTCAAATTAAAGCATCTTTCTCAACCCATATCTTCCTTTCCTTCTGCTTGAAGCCGCCACACTAAAAATTGCATTTTTTTCTTATAAAAGAGATTTGATTTGCTACACAACTCAAAAGAATCAGTCATAATGATGCATTTCACGATGATTTTGTTCTTGGTTTGGTTAAGTCACAAATTTAGTTCTTGAACTCATTGAATTTTAGGTTGTATCTGTATTTTAAAAAGTTACTTCAATTTTCAATTGTTGGCATAAATGTTAACCAAAAGAGTTAACTAAAACTTATTAGACTGAAAGTCTAATTTTGTCTTTGAAAATCATAAATTTTGTTTTATTATATTTTTGTAAAAATAATAAAATGAAGGTTAATTAGTTAATTAGTTTTTAAAAGTAGAAAATCGAAAACAAAATCATTGTCCAAGTTTAGTGGGAGCGATGGGATTCTCTCTGCCTGATGGTGGAGTTTAAAGAAGGTTCAAACTGAAAAAGATAGACATATAAAATTAGGAATGTGAAAAAATTTGATATTGAAATTGAAAAGCTTTGGGTACTGTCATAAATCTCACTCTCATGGATTCGTACAGAACAACTTTGTAATATGTTCCCACTAATTTGATATGATTATGATCGCTGCTGGAACAATTCTTCATTTAATGTCTACAAATCCTCAAAGCAACGATTCTAATGTCCAAATCCCTTCCAAGATTATTATTATTTATTTATTTTTACTTGATTTAAATTGTTCATGTGTTGCCTATACAAAACTCTTAATAATTTTTATATTGGAATAAAACATTATTTTAAGAAATAGTTTGGTTGGTCTTCTTTATAATTCAAAATTCCACAATTTAACTTTGGTTATTCAAAATATGATTCATAAAAGAATAACGTGATCAGTGAAATGATTCTTAGTAGTTTGCTATGGTCTCAAAAATAGACAACATATATAAGATGCACCACATAGTCAAGTTTCTAATTTGACCATTGAAAATTCATCGCCTCAAATTCCTTTCATACGCATATTTTGAATAGTTTCTCTGCTCAAACTCCATTTACACATAGCAATGATTTTAAAAACTCTGCATTTTAAATTTAAAAAACCCCAATAGAATCATCTTATAAATCGGAAGAAATTAAAATGTATTTTTCTCCAAAAAAAAAAAAAATGATTTACACATTATGAACTGGGTGCTGATGAACAACCCCAACAAAACATGTGCTGCTACAAGTTGCAGTTCAAAAGATACCTTGGCTGTCTTCCCAACCTCTCTCAAATCCATTGGAGGCTAGAATTGTGGGTGGAAAGCATCTGCTGCTACAATTGTGGGCATTTTGAGAAGTTGAGATCTTTGGAGAATCTGAATCTAGCAAGGCCACAAGCAGGCTTGGAGACTATCAAGAACTGAACCTTTCAAAATCTTCAAATTGGTCAGAGTTTTGGGAACCATCTCCCTGAAGCAGTGTATGTATTCAAATTGAGATTCCTAGAATCCACAAACAGAGATATTCTGAAAACTTGACCGAAGTGGAAGTGGTACATAAGAGTTAGTTCTCCGGTTGAGCTTTCCCTTGATGGATTTGGAGTTGAGGAAGTACCTGAATCAGTTGGATTTCTTATAAATAAATAGTGTCACAAACAGAAATCTCATCATTATAAATTCAGGATTTCTTTCTATTTTTCACCGATCTGGAGATTGGCATTTTTGGTAGGTTTAGTGCCCTGACATGGACTATTAAATCAGACAATATAGACATTACAAATAAGAAAACCTGGAGTTGAAAATTCACAGATAGGACTAGCTACAATCTGACCAGTCAAAAATTACAATTTCACTTGGAATTAGAATTACATCGATATATACCCATTACATTCCTAATAACCACTAGCCTCTCAGAAGGAAAACAACTAATGGGAGAAGGTGGAAGCAAAAGGTATGTTGTAAAATCAAATGCTAATATGGCACAGCAAAGCCTAATACTAATAATTTTTCTGATGTTCAATTTTGATGTGAAAATTTTTGTACAATAATTTTTAATTCTACCTCATTTCTTTTCCCTAATCTTTGGTCTCGACTTCACACTGGCTCTCCTAGCAACATCCCATGCCTTCTGTGGTGCATAAATACCGAGCTGTGCAGCAAAGAATGACTCGTAGCCAGGTGAGTCGAAGGCAAAGCCAGTGTGCTTTGATAACTCTCGAGGGAGTTGAGTCATGGCATAGCTTCTTGCCTCTTCCGGTGTAAGACGGTTCTGAATCTCCAGAAATCCCGCTGTACTTCTACCTTCAGGTTCATGTCTATGAATTTCTTGAACAATCTGATAATCGTAGGGGAAAAACCATCTCTGGAGGCTGTAATCATATATAAAAAAAAATTGGCAATGGAAAATATATTAGCAATAGGACCAAATATGTAAATAATAAGTTGACTCGCAATTTCTATCCTAGTTCATATGATGATCCCAACACAACAGGAATAATTAAGAGAAAACTGTAATTGTAATGTAGGAAACTCCAGAACGTTAGCCACTCTGATGTGAAAGTCTAGACAAATGATAATAAGGGAATCGCAGAATGAGCATTCACCTCCATTATGGAAAGTAAATAAATAACTAAATAAATAATAAAAAATCTGCCATAAGACAGGCTATGTGCCTGATTGTACAGTTTAGGCTTTTAATCTAAGCTCTATCTGAGACAAAACAGACTACGGTTGGCCAATAAAAAATTCTGATTAATTGTGTAGACTTCGAACTTATTTTCTTTCAAGGTAGAAATTACATGTTTCAATTTCTAAACCTCTTCATAGCTCAGATCAAAGGTCTAAAACTAATTACCCTACGAGTATGCTGTGATCACTAATGTCCAAATAATAAATAAGAAAACTACGTGGCGTATTTCCTTCCCCCATAAGATAGCCAAAAAGTCAATAGGATACTTACCCTTGATAAGCAAAATCACAAAGAAGTGCAACAACGGGGACGAGAAGGACGGCCACGTAAAAGTAGAATGTACTCATTAAGACATATATGACAAAATATACATTTTCCTGCAGCAAAATGGTACCGATAAAGTGAATTAAAAGGAAAAAAAATTACGTATATATATACACACATAAAAATAAAATAAAAGCAACAAAACTAACCTGCCTATCACGTGATGTCATAATACCAGAATATAAGAAAATAAATATGAACCATGCTAAAATGCTTCCTCCAACCGTAATGGAATGCCACCTGGTAATTGAATTGCAGATCAAAAGCAGCCGCAAATTAACAGTTACTACAATGCATGTGAAAGCCATCGTGCTGATATCCCACAGACCAAACATCTTGCC